GTTTGGGCATGGGCACAAGTTGTGCCCATGGATAATTTGGTGGATGGGTAGAGGGTAGGAAGATGGGTCATGGGTTGGATTTGGACCAGCTCCACCCGCCCCAAACCCGACCCATTGCCATCCCTAGGACCGGCAATACGCGACGAAGGCGTCGGTGCCTGCGTACTCCGAGTTGACGGCCTTGCCGCCCGCCCTCTTCCTCTTCCGCAGCCTCCCGACACCAGCCGCCCAAGGAGACAGCCCCGCAAGGTTCAAGGAGCTGGCCCTGCCCCCGGCCAGCTTTTGCCGGAGGAGCGGCCAGGTGCAGATGCTGCTGCTGCCGCACCCGCCCAGGCGCGGGGCGTCCGACGCCTAGTCGGACTCGTCCCCGCTGTCTGCCCCGCTGTCCTCCTCGGCGCTCTCGCTCGAGGACGAGCTCCCATCGTCAGAATCTCCATCAGAGGACCTCTCCACGCAGCATTTCAGACGAGTTCCAAGATTTCCGAAGACCTTGACGGAGAGCAGGTCGTCCTCCATTAACTTGAAGTAGAGGACGAGCCCCGCCATCAGGCTGTGGATGCGGGCGAACGTCTTCCATCCACGGCAGAGATACATGACTCGAAGAGCCGGGGAGTCGACGTCGACCCGCGTGCCCCCGTTCCCGCAGCCCCTCATGTGCAACCTGAGGGTCTGGGGCGGGGCACGCTCCATCACCAGAGCGAACGGAGTGGGGAGACGAAGACGACGACGTGGGGGCCGGCGGAGCCTAATGAAGAACTCGCAAGGCTGGTCTTCAATGTGGCCCTCCATCGAGAAGGGCATCATTGGCAGGGGCGGGGGCGGCGCGTCGCCCCGTCCTCCTCTTCCCCGAGCGCTATGACCTCTACCGCGGCCTCGCCCATGGCCTCGCCCCCTCCCCCTTCCCCTCGCGGTCGGTTCCGCCACCATGGGTTCAGAAGGGGGGACGCCCTGTTGAGCGGCGACCCTCGCCGCCACCGTCAAAGGGCCAGGATTCCCTTTCTCCATGGCAGGTGAGAGGAAGGAGCAGAAGCAGAGAAGAGATGGAAGATGGAAGAATGCGGGGTGCCATTTCCCCCTTCCTCCTCTTTATAAAGTAACGGGGTTGAGGCTCGGCCGCCCCTCTCGGCCAATCCAGACACCGGAGGCGCGGGGAATCAGGATAGACCCGCCGCCCAACCAGTGGCGGCCCGGTTTCTCGCCTCCACCGTTTGCCACCACAAGGACGCGTGGCAGACGTGCAGAACTGAAGGGACGGGTGAGGCGACCTCTCCACTCCCCGTGATCATGGGGAGTGGATGCCTTGAAGACCGCACCTCGACCCCGCTCAGTAAATGAGCCGCGCCTCCACGCCTCCCTCTTTTTACGGGGAAGACGCAAGCCGCCTCTTTACTGCGACGTGACGCATGCGTGTGGAAACCGTCCCACGCATGCCGCCCATGTCACGCACCCTCCCCCTGCACGCCGCGCCACGCGCGCGGGTCGTGGGAGGCAGAGCGCACGAAGAAACTTACCACGGTAAAAACCGCCCCACCTGCCCGCGCACTGTTTTGGGCCTGGCCCAACAACGTGTTGCGCTTATGTGTGGCCCAGGCCCGGGGGCTCCTGTCGGTGTACAAAAATAGGGGCGCATCTTTGTACCCATTTTCCTGTGCATGGGCAGTCAGAGTCGCGCCCACGACCACACCAAGCAGAACGAGGGAGGTGAGCCAAGGTAAGAATCAAAGCCCAAGACAATCAAAGCAACGCCAAAGCCAAGAGCACAAAGAGTAGAGGGACGAAGCAGGTTCCCCCGGCAAGACCCTTGCCGGGTGGCCTCAGCAGCCCCGGCAAGACTCTTGTCGGGACAACTCGCCCCACGCCAACAGAGCGAGCCACCCTTGAGCCCCTGGCCCCCAGTACCATCATCAGCATAGGGCCAGGGCTCGGGAAGGCACCCCTGTGGTGGCATACGGATCTTTGTGAAGACATATTCAAGATCATATTAGAAGACGACGATCCTAGGCAAGATCCCTGCCAAGGAAGGCCACCAGACCCCCGGCAAGATCCTTACCGGGGACGACAACACGCCATGGCGAGACCCTTGCCGGGCCACCCGGCAAGGCCCTCGCCAAAGACGCCGGCAAGGCCACCACCAAGCCCACGTCAACCATGCTCCCACCGCCGTTCACATGCAGCTGCCAGCCCAACCAGCTGGGCGGGCACCTGCGTGGCAACATGCTGCTCCCAGGCCAACTCTTCAAGTGCCTGCATGGCGACATGCAGATCTTCGTGAAGGCTCCACCACCACGCCAACTCAGCTGTCTGCCTACCTACATGGCACCGCACGCATCCCTGGCCGAGGCGCGTGCCGAAACGAGGAGAAGCGGCGACGGACGGGACGGGCCTCAACCCCGTCCCCGATAAAGCAAGAGGACACCTAAGCAGTGCATTAAATGCACCTTGTCCTGTAATACGAGGGATAACCTCGCGCCACTTTAGACCTTTCCACCTCCTGTGTGCCACTGTGGCGACCCCTTTTTCCTATAAAAGGAGGCCCGAGCGACAAGGAGAGGGATTCGGCTCTTTGAAACCACACGCTGACCACAGCTAGCTCGAGAGCTCAAGAACTCTCAGAAATACACCCACCAAAGCAGGACTAGGGTTTTATGCATCCTCGCGGCCCGTACCTGGGTAAACGATCCTCGTGTTGTCTACTAGCCCTGCTCTCCTCGCAACCCTACGCCCCGGCAACCATAGTAGGAATTTTTGTGATCCCATAGGTGTCGTTTCACACCGACATAGGCAACTGTGCATCAATAGTAGGCAATTTATAGTATTACACTTATGGACAACTTTTCAATGTATCGTAGGCAACTGAAACAGTAATGGCAGGCAACTAAGCATCACTGTTAGGCAACTTCAGAGTGTTTGTAGGCGACTTAGAAAAACAATGATAACCAACCTCACAATATTTGTAGGCAGCTAATTTGAAAAGATAGGCAACTGATCAGCAATGGTAGGCAACTGTGCATCAATGGTAGACAATTTATAGTAGTTATAGGCAACTGAGTAGCGACGATAGGCTACTAATCACCAATAGCAGGCAACTGGGCATCAATGGTAGGCAATTGCATAGTATTTATAGGCAACTGAGCATCAACCGTAGGCAACTGAACAACCATGCATTATAGGCAAGTTGGGGTAATGTTACCAAAATTCATATGTACACATAGTGCAGTGAAGTTGCTTGCATGTAGCACTAAAGATGCTTCATGTTTTCGTGTGTGTTTCTCGTCTTGAGACAAACCAACCTAATAGACAGTCCAACTAGGACAAAAAAAGGTGTTTGCTTCCCTATAGTACACTTAGAGATGAATCTAGTCAATTGGTAGTCATGATAACAAACTTAGAAAGACTCCTCGCTGACAGGTAGCCATACTAGAGAATAAAAAAGAGTTGATTTTTTATAGCACTAAAGTTGTCTCCGTAGCACCCAAAGTTGCTCTGAACTTTTTTTTGCCGAAACCTACTCATATGGAATCTAGTTTTGAAGAACTCGTCATGAGAAATATAATGATGAAAACGTAACTAGATTTCCATGCCTGAATCAAAAGTTACGGCTTTTAAGACTTTTGAACCCCAAATAAATGCACATGGGGACAAGATGCAGGCTGATTCCATCGGCACGCCTGTGCGCTACTGGATGTGGCTAGATAGATTCCTTTTCTAGAATACACCGCTGGACACAAGGACATATACTTACCATATATGGGAGTGCGCTTCAAACAACGAACGAGCGCAGCAGTGCTCCCTAGCTACGTCCAAAAAAAAACGTCTTACAATATCATAGCTATCACCTGCAAGGCACCACTGAACATAAACTCTCTCGATTTTAGCTCAGCTGATCTCACGTGCTACCAGACCAGCAACGGGAAAAAAACGTCGCCACATTTACCAGTTGGATCTATCAGACAGAAGGGCCTTGTACTGCTCTAAAGTATCCTGCAAATTACAAACTTTGGCGCCAATTGGACTCCACAAAACATGCTTTGGGATGACTAAGCCAGCAAACACATACAACGTGACTAACTGACTAAGCCAGCAAACACATACAGCAAACAGAAACACTGACCCAACTGATAAAAAAAAACTGACCCAAGATGCATTACCAGATTTGTTTTTCGTCACCTTTTTTTTCTCCGAATACTACTCCCTCTGTACCAAAATATAAGATGGTTGTTTGGTCTAAATTTAGACCCAAAATAAAAAACGTTTGATATTTTGGTATGGAGGGAGTACCAGTTTTGGCAGTGTTCTAGTACCAGCATTGCAAAATTATGACAGCAAACATAACATAAACTCGTTCAGTCACGAAGCAAAATTATAAGCAAGTACTCCCTCCGTCTCAAAATAAGTGTCTTAACCTTAGTAAGTTAGTACAAAGTTGAGACGCTTATTTTGGGACGAAGGGAGTATTACCCACCAAAGCAGTATCAAACGATGAGCAGTTGGATGGATCTATTTCTGCTTGCTGTATTGTCATCTTTGCAGGTCATGCACCTCAATATTCAGGAAAGCGTACGCAAGCAGATTGCCCAGAGGTTGAAAATAAACTTGTCAACATAGTGCCGATATATTCTCACATGCTTTCCAGCGACGGGTCCAGCGCCCACTAGCACATGACGCTGCTGCTGTACTTGGAGCTGCCGCCGCTGGGGAGGTCCTCCGCGCCCTCAAAGCACACATGGAGCACGCAGCCCTTGATGTCCATGATGCCGCATCGGCGAGGAACATCTCGAGATGAACTGACCCAAACTGGATTTTCCCAATGCAGTTGTGGTTCATCCCAACATAATTAGTGGGCATTTCACTGCAGTCTGCAGCTATCCACTAAGGTGGCAACAGAAGAAAGTTTTGCCATCTCCCCAAGAGACAGTCACTTAAAAGTTTGAGCATAGCTACCGCAAGATCCATATCCCATAACCAAACATTCAGCGCATTACTCCATAGTACCAGGAATGCTAGGCGTTTCTGTTCTTGGGGTAGTCAAAAACCATTCCATTTGCCACACTTTTCGCTCGTCCATGGCCAAAGAATTTTCTTACAATGGCCAGGGAAAAATCCATGACTGTTCCGAGTCCCTTCCCAGTAATCAAATTTCCGTCAATCACAACCTTTGAACCGTCAATAACCTGGCAAGTGAGCTGATTGACTATGGAAGGATGAGCAGTCACTGTTTTATCCTGAGTAACACAATTCCAACGTCAATTTACTTCCATTTCAGTGAAGTATAAGATGCTACGAGTTTTTAGTCCGAAAAATCACCTCGAGTAAACCTTGCTTCTGCAATATCAATGGAGAATAACTGATCCCACCATACATCCTGCTTGCTTGCTTCTGTTCCTTGAGTAGCTTTTTAAGAGTGGTAGACCTGTGAAGACGCTCAGCTCCAGCATGTCCCCCCTGGACAATATCAAGGGATAAAACATTATAGAAAAAAATATTATTGGATAACGAAACCAAAAGCAGAGCAAGCAAGCAAAGGGACAGTAGAACATGCAAATGCACACACAAGAACGCCTGAATTATAGGTAGCTGGGCACTGAAATTATCAATGCTACACCTTAAGACATAATTAAGAAGAATGAGACTAAAATGATGAACATATGACTTCATAGTTGCAGAAAACACATCATTTGTCATAGAAACGCACAAGCATAACTGTTATGACCGGCATATTAGAGGCTTAGCCCAGTTAGTTGTGGCCCAGTTATCTTATCATTATTATGGGCTTAGCCCAATTATCTTAGTAGAAGGATTATATAAACTCATGAAAGGATCCGTTTTAGAATTAAGTAAGAAGCAATCATATTTGCTCGGCTTCCTTAGGGAGCCGGGAGACCTAACCCTAGCCGCCTCCTCCCCTGCGCCATCTCCCTCTCAGCCGGGAGCCGTCACCTCCTCGCGCACGACGGCGCCCAGCCGCCGCCGGCCGCGAGTTCGTCCACGACCAGCTCCCTCCTTCCCCTACAACCTCCAGCCTAGACCCGGTAGAACCCTAGTTTCTACCAGTTTGGTATCAGCTCGCTTCGGTTCGATCATGTCTTCCCCACCGCCAACCCCGTCGCTTCCACTGCCGACTGCCACCAGCGCGCCGCTGCCCTCCCCATCCGTGCTGCTGCTCTCCACCACCGGCGCCGCTGCCGCCCAGATGTCGGCGCCCTCCACCGCGCCGCCAGCAGCCGCCTACACCCCGGAGGAGGTCACCGGGGTCCTCAACGACCTCGTCGCCGCCGTCCAGTGTATCCGGCTGTACCTGGCCAGCCCCTACGGGTCGTCGCCGCCCCTGCCGCCGGCCGCCGCCGCCACCGGGCCACCAGCCCTGTCGTGGTACTCGCCGCACGCAGCGGCCTCCGCTGCGTTCGCTGGGAGGCTGCAGCTGCAGCCATCGCCCGTCCCTACCCCGCAGTGGCCGCCGTGGCCGGCGCCGGCTCTTGTCGCGCCTCCCGCGCCCACCGCCCCCATCCAGCAACCGTCGTGGCTGTCGTGGCCGCTGCCATCCACCGCCACCACCGGACCGCCCTGGCTGCAGTGGCAGCCGCCGCTCCTGGCGGTCTCCGCCGCGCCCGGTGCTCCGCTGCAGCCGCTGCCGCTGACCGGCGCGACACCGCAGCAGCCGCTGCAGCTGCAGCAACCACCGCCGGTCAGCTCCGTCCCCACATCGACCGCGCCGGCAGGAGTCCCGATCCACCAGGTCCGGTTCCCGCCCTCGCCGTCCCCACTAACGGCTTGGTTGACCGACTCGTCGTCTCAGCCGGTCTACACGCTGGCCTCGGGACCGCCGCGTGTGCCGTCACAGCAGGCGCAGTACGGCGGATCCTCCAGCTCCGCGGGCTCCTACGTTGGCCTCGACGCGCCGCCGTTCCACGTGGGGGCCCCTGTGATCACCGACCCCGCGCCGCTGCTCCACACCGCCAAGTCGTACCCCCACGGGCCACGGCGGTCATACCCAGACGGCGCTGTGCTTCGCCAAGCTCGCCTTCGCCACCTACGACGGCACCAAGGACCCCCTCAACTGGCTTAATCAGTGTGACCAGTTCTTCCGGGGGCAACGCACGCTTGCGTCGGACCGCACCTGGCTCGCTTCATATCACCTTCGAGGCGCCGTACAGACTTGGTATTACGCTCTCGAGCAGGACGAGGGCGGCATGCCTCCATGAGAGCGTTTTCGCGAGCTATGCCTCCTTCGCTTCAGGCCGCCGATACGCGGGAGCCGACTGGCGGAGTTGGCTCGTCTCCCCTTCACCTCTACGGTGCAGGACTTCACAGACCGCTTTCAGGCCCTGGCGTGCCACGCGCCCGGCGTGACAGCTCGCCAGCGGGCCGAGCTCTTTGTTGGCGGTCTGCCGGATCAAATTCGTGTGGACGTGGAGCTGCAGGGACCCCAGGACCTCCAGACGGCCATGTACTACGCTCGCGCGTTCGAGCGTCGCGCGGTGGCCATCCAGCAGGCGTCACCGTCCCGGGCCGCTGGGCCGCCACCTTGGCCGGACGTTCCCGCGCAGGCTCGGCCTGCTCAGGCTTCCGCGGCACCCCTAGCCGCGACCGCGGCGCGCCCGTTCCGACGGCTCACCCCGGCCGAGCAACTCGAGCGTCGCCGCCAAGGGTTGTGCTTCAACGGCAACGAGCCCTACGTGCCCGGCCACGTCTGCCCACGACTTCTACCTGGAGGCTGCGGACTACATTGAGGAGGACGCCGCCGGCGCTGGGCTCGGCGACCTGCCCGCCCCAGCTGCCGCGGAGGTGTTTGGCGACGGGTGATCACCTCGAGGAGTTCCGCAAGCGCTTCCCCACCTTCCAGCTCAAGGACGAGCTGTTTGTGCAAGCAGGGAGAAATGTTATGACGGGCATATTAGGGGCTTAGCCCAGTTAGTTGTGGCCCAGTCTATCTTATCGTTATTAGGGGCCTAGCCCAATTATCTTAGTAGGAGGATTATATAAACTCGTGTAAGGATCCATTTTGGAATTAAGCAAGAAGCAATCATATTTGCTCGGCTTCCTTAGAGAGCCGCGAGACCTAACCCTAGCCGCCTCCTCCCCTGCGCCATCTCCCTCTCAGCCGTCGCCTCCTCGCGCATGACGGCGCCCAGCCGCCGCCGGCCGCGAGTTCGTCCACGACCAGCTCCCTCCTTCCCCTACAACCTCCGGCCTAGACCCGGTAGAACCCTAGTTTCTACCAGTTTGGTATCAGCTCGCTTTGGTTCGATCATGTCTTCCCCGCCGCCAACCCCATCGCTTCCGCTGCCGACTGCCACCACCGCGCTTGCTGCCCTCCCCATCCGTGCTGCTGCTCTCCACCACCGGCGCCACCGCCGCCCAGATGTCGGCGCCCTCCACCGCGCCGCCAGCAGCCGCCTACACCCCGGAGGAGGTCACCGGGGTCCTCAACGACCTCGTCGCCGCCGTCCAGGGTATCCGGCTGTACCTGGCCAGCCCCTACGGGCCGTCGCTGGCCCTGTCGCCGGCCGCCGCCACCGGGCCAGCAGCCCTGCCATGGTACTCGCCGCACGTAGCGGCCTCCGCTGCGTTCGCTGGGAGGCTGCAGCTACAGCCATCGCCCATCCCTACCCCGCAGTGGTCGCCGTGGCCGGCGCCGGCTCTCGCCGCGCCTCCCGTGCCCACCGCCCCCATCCAGCAACCGTCGTGGCTGCCGTGGCCGCTGCCATCCACCGCCACCACCGCCCCGCCCTGGCTGAAGTGGCAGTCGCCGCTCCAGGCGGTCTCCGCCGCGCCCGGTGCTACGCTGCAGCCGCTGCCGCTGACTGCCGCGACACCGCAGCAGTCGCTGCAGCTTCAGCAACCACCGCCGGTCAGCTCCGTCCCCGCATCGACCGCGCCGGCGGGAGTCCCGATCCACCAAGTCCGGTTCCCGCCCTCGCCATCCCCACTACTGGCTTGGTTGACCGAGTCGTCATCTCAGCCGGTCTGCACGCTGGCCTCGGGACAGCCACATGTGCCGTCACAGCAGGCGCAGTACGGCGGATCCTCCAGCTCTGCGGGCCCCTACATTGGCCTCGACGCGCCGCCGTTCCACGTGGGGGCCCCTGTGATCACCGACCAGGGGCCGCTGCTCCGCACCGCCGAGTCGTACCACCACGGGCCACGGCGGTCATACACAGACGGCACCGCGCTTCGCCAAGCTCGCCTTCGCCACCTACGACGGCACCGAGGACCCCCTCAACTTGCTTAATCAGTGTGACCAGTTCTTCCGGGGGCAACGCACGCTTGCGTCGGACCGCACCTGGCTCGCTTCATATCACCTTCGAGGCGCCGTACAGACTTGGTATTACGCTCTCGAGCAGGACGAGGGCGGCATGCCTCCATGAGAGCGTTTTCGCGAGCTATGCCTCCTTCGCTTCAGGCCGCCGATACGCGGGAGCCGGCTGGCGGAGTTGGGCCGTCTCCCCTTCACCTCTACGGTGCAGGACTTCACAGACCGCTTTCAGGCCCTGGCGTGCCACGCGCCTGGCGTGACGGCTCGCCATCGGGCCGAGCTCTTTGTTGGCGGTCTGCCGGATCAAATTCGTGTGAGCGTGGAGCTGCAGGGACCCCAAGACCTCCAGACGACCATGTACTACGCTCGCGCGTTCGAGCGTCGCGCGTTGGCCATCCAGCAGGCGTCACCGTCCCGGGCCGCTGGGCCGCCACCTTGGCCGGACGTTCCCGCGCAGGCTCGGCCTGCTCAGGCTTCCGTGGGACCCCTAGCCGCGACCGCGGCGCGCCCGTTCCGACGGCTCACCCCGGCCGAGCAACTCGAGCGTCGCCGCCAAGGGTTGTGCTTCAACGGCACAGAGCCCTACATGCCCGGCCACGTCTGTCCACGACTTCTATCTGGAGGCTGCGGACTACATTGAGGAGGACACCGCCGGCGCTGGGCTCGGCGACCTGCCTGCCCCAGCTGCCGCGGAGGTGTTTGGCGACGGGTGATCACCTCGAGGAGTTCCGCAAGCGCTTCCCCGCCTTCCAGCTCAAGGACGAGCTGTTTGTGCAAGCGGGGAGAAATGTTATGACGGGCATATTAGGGGCTTAGCCCAGTTAGTTGTGGCCCAGTCTATCTTATCGTTATTAGGGGCTTAGCCCAATTATGTTAGTAGGAGGATTATATAAACTCGTGTAAGGATCCGTTTTGGAATTAAGCAAGAAGCAATCATATTTGCTCGGCTTCCTTAGGGAGCCGGGAGACCTAACCCTACCCGCCTCCTCCCCTGCGCCATCTCCCTCTCAGCCGTCGCCTCCTCGCGCACGACGGCGCCCAGCCGCCGCCGGCCGCGAGATCGTCCACGACCAGCTCCCTCCTTCCCCTACAACCTCCGGCCTAGACCCGGTAGAACCCTAGTTTCTACCAGTTTGGTATCAGCTCGCTTCAGTTCGATCATGTCTTCCCCGCCGCCAACCCCGTCGCT